TTGAAAAAACTGGGAGTTTCCGAAAGTTAGGGGTACCTTATTTTGGTGTCTTTATAATAAGGATCCTACAATTTAGGGTACTATATTAGGGTCCCCGACTATCGGAAACTCCCAGATGGGTTTTGTCAGGGTCTGCTCGGTTTCCACAGGGGTCCTTGTTAAGGAGGGTTTCTGGCTTGTTCGGTGTGTTCTTGCGGCTACTTAAAGGATCACGGGACTTAGTAACTAGGGTTATAAGTTATAATTAGGATAACCATACTTATAACTACTTATAACCCCAATTAAGGTACTTATAACCTTACTTACCAAGTCCCATGATCCTCCAAGTAGAGGGATATTCATGGCGCTAGACATGGTCCTTGTAACTCTAAACAAATTTGTTTGAAATCGTAAACTATTCAGGCAAAAATTCTCTTTTTCGTGCATCGCAATACTTTGTTACCCCCAAGTTATGTTCCTGAAGGAGGCCTGAGGGTGGGGATTCGAGGCTAGGGGGTTCAGGGTTTGAAGGTTCGAAGGTCAGGAGATTACGGGGGGGCTTGTTCCTTACTCCGGCAACATAAAGCACAACTTCAACCCAGAAGTTTTATACAACTGCACGTAATTCCCAAGTATCCAGGAATCATGACTTCTCACCCGGCGCCGAAACTCTTGACACCCCAAAGCTAAAGACAGAGGCATAGGCCCCAACAAAGCCTTAAAGCCGAAAGCTCCGAGTCCTAATCGCGAGCATTCAACACCAAGTCTACTTGCTAAGTGCCCTGATCCTTTACGTAGACCCTAAACCTCTATAGATTCCTGACAGCAGTCCTTTCAAGAACCCGAACCCTTTAGGGAGCCCTTACGAAGTTAAAATTATACCCCCTAAATCGTCGGTGCCGTTTTATGTTAGGGACCCAAAAAAAGGGGATCCTAATTTTGACAACTACCCAAATCATCTCTCATGGGACTCAAGAGATCTCTCATGGAACCCTTGACCCTTAAAACAGGAGCCTTAATAATTAGAATAGGGTTTTAGAGCCTATACTATAGTTATGATACGGAACCCGCAGAATCATACGGGGCACTATTTAGGCCTAAACCCTGAACCCTAAACCCTGCCCCAACCCTACTTGGAGGATCCTGGGACTTAGTAAGTACGGTTAAAAGTACCTTAATTGGGGTTATAAGTAGTTGTATAGCTACCCTAGTTATAACCTAGCTACTAAGTCCCATGATCCTTTAAGTAACCCTAGAACCCCTCTTGTAGAGCCCTTATGGATCCCTTTTTAGGAACCCTTTAAGGAGCCCTAGTTCCCATGATCCTTTACGTAGGCCCTAAACGCCAAGCCCTTTATACTATAATATCAACAAGGAACCCCCAAAATAATATAGGCAACTATTAAGGCCCCTATAGCAACCCTACAATTATAATGTTTCCAGGCTGGAGGAGCCCGTGGCTGCGAATGCCGAGGCTCGGGCTTGCAACTTACGGGTCGGGCGTGGGAGCAGAGGGTTCTCATAAATCTTAGGGGTACTTAGTTTTTTAATTTTTGGTTATTATAATCCCTAAGAAGCAGCAAAAAGTTTTAATTTTTGCTAGGGTTCTAAGTTCAGTATAGAGATATCTTTATAACTCTTTGAAACCTTGGGAAATACACTCTTTAAAAGTTTGGGTTTAATGGGATTTGCGTAGGATTTTAGGGTTTTAGGGGTTAACGGTTTAAGGGTTTAGGGTAGAGGCTTACGCATCTAGGATGGTTGTTAGTTTCCGTGATTGCTGAGCCCGAACTCTAAAGATGCTACAAGTATGTCCTTTATGGCATCCGCGTGGGGTCGCAGTTTCAATACTGAGCGCTATACGGTAGAGGAAGGAATCGCTCGTGCCGGCGGCCCTGAAAATTCGAAACATCTCTCTTGCATCCATCTTAGCTCAGCACAGCTAAGAGCATCCCTAAACCCTATAAAGGGAACCCCAGAAAGTTGGAATATGGATTAATGGTAGGATCCCCTATAATTGACCTTAAAGGGGTTAGGATAATCATATTCCACCTTTCTGGCTTCTACTGTAAAGCCTTGGCAATCTCAGCTCTTCATCCAGAAGCCTGAACCATGTGTTCGAGCCAGGTGTCCACCAGTGACCGCGGGTGCCTAGCCTGCAGAGAGCCTTTCCGACAGCATGGATGCACATGCGCACAGGCATGGACATGTAACGTGCACGTTCGAAGGCTGCTTTTGTTTGCAACTTGCTTTGTCTGCAAACCCCAAGCCCTCAACCCTGTAGCCCTAAGCTTGCAAAACCCTGCTGTAAAGCCCTGAACCTTAAACCCTCACCCCAAACCCTCAACCCCAAAGCCTCAACCCTCAAAGCCCGAACCTAAACCTCCGAAAGCCTCAAAACCCTCCTAGGATGCCCAGTAGTACTCTTATTCCCTTTTTGTAGTCCTAGGTTCCTTATAAAGTTACCCAATACCAAAAAAAGAGGCCTTCTATTCCTAGGTTACTGGGTATCCTGGCCTCAAACCGCTAACCTCAAACTCGGGATCCGCAGGGGCTTGGCCTCGGAGCGGAGGCGCTTCCTCGGCGAGCGCGCCAACAGGCTCACCCGTGCTTCTCGGGCTCTAGAGGTTGAGGGGTTTAGGGTCCAGGGATTCACTTCAGAGGTTGAGGGGTTCAGGGGTTTAGGGGTTCAGGGGTTCAGGGATTTAGGGATTCAGAGGTTTAGGGATTCAGAGAGCCTAATATTAGTTAAGGAGTATACCTTCAACCATAGAAAAAGATGGCCGGGCTCAGGGGTTTGGGGACTCAGAGAGGCCAATTTTAGTTCAGGAATAGACCTTGAACCATAGAACAATAAGGCCCGTAGGATTCCGGGGTTTAGGGTTTACTTGGAGGATCATGGGACTTAGTTTGTAAGGATATAAGTACCTCAATTAGGGTTCTAAGTAGTTATAAGTATAGTTACCCTAATTATAACCCTAGTTACTAAGTCCCATGATCCCTTAAGTAGGGTTCCTTTAGAGGGTAATTGTATAAGAGCTACTATAAGGACCCTATAAGTAGACTTACTTTACCTGCGTTGATCGAGGCTGAAGCTGCCTCCGATGTTGGCCCCGTCGAGGGGGATAAGACTATTGTACTATAATTACTTATTGGCTGTAAACTCACCTTTTCAACCTTTGGGTTCTTATAAGGTAGTCGATTCTGAAAGTTTCAAGCTTTTATTTCCTTGGGTTTTGGGCCAGTGAGATTATAACTAAAGGGTTAAAATCAGGTGCCTTAATGAATAGAAGATGGTTATTATTATTATGATTATGATTGTTAATTTTGGAGAATGTACTGCAGGAGACCTCTGAGGCTAAGAAGGCTGGAAGCCAACTCCGGCTTCGAGGAAAGAGGCTGCGTGGTGGGGAGGCCTTGGCTGGGCTAATCTAGGGTTCCTTTGAGGGAGTCTATAAGGGTTCCTATAAGGGATCTATACCGTTACGATAATAATGGAAGGGCTTACATAGTTACTTATACCCCCCAAAACCCTACTCTAATTATTAACAAGGCCCTTATATGACATGCATCCGACCTCCCGCCAAGCCATGGACTGCAAGGGCCTGGGTCGCAAGAGGCAGGCGACTGCAGGCTCGCCACGCATGTGGGTGGCCTTGGATGCGGGCGAATTTGAGATTGAGGAGATGTGCTTCTTCGAGGAGCTCGCGAACCAAGCGGGTGTTGTAAGGGAAAGATGATAGGGCCCCAAGAAAGCACATAAGCACAAATTAGGATAGGGATATCCCATATAAGCCCCTTATAATGAAGCCCAATAAGGTACGGATATCCATATAAAATGCAAATGCTTATGTGCTTTTTGGGGGTCCCTAGATGAGACTTTTCATCTTGGTCGCGTTGATTGTTACCAGTGTTGCTGGTATCAATCTTATTATCGCAATTATGTTAGCGACTTCTCTTGCCACTTTTGTTCGTATGGCTGTCAGGATTGTCTTGTCAGTACTCTTATCGTTGTTAAGTTGTCGAGAAGCAATGTTAGTAGTAGTCGTAATAACGTTGTTATATAGCTTTAATTTGGCCTGGAAGTGCTTGGTCGGCACCCCTCTTCACGAATGGGATGCTACTCGTCTCACCCGCAGTCGAAGAACACGCCACTTGGAAGCACGACAGCAATGAACCATGACCATTGCCGATCTTCAAGGCCGGGTCTTGTTTAACCTGATCAAGCTTCTCGTCAATGTTCAGGCAGGAAGCCGCCATGGTTCGCTCGGACCCCTGAGTTTTCTATCGCAGAAGCATTGATCCTCCCGTATAAGCTCTGTCTTCGCAGGTGCTTCGTATCTGAAGAAAGCGTAGCAGCGGCATTTGCGGGAACACGTGGCCGGACTGTGGGCACCTCAGGCTCGGTGCGCTGTGGTCTTATAAGCTCGCTAACCTTCGAAACCGCCAGGCTGCGACGCGTATGCCTCCGGACGCTGTCCGGGCAAGTACACCGCTACGAGGCCGCTTTGTGTACGGGTGCTTGGACACTCGTCGCACAAAATTGTCCTGTCGTCAGCTCTTCTGGTACGACCGGGTCTACGAGTTCCTTCCGGTCCAGAAGGAAGATGCCACGGTGTTGGTCTACCCGGACCAGAAGATGGTCGGCCGGGCACCCAAACAGACTCATAAAATCTTGCGCGAGTCGCAGGGAGTCGCATCCACTCAGGCCGCTTCACTGAAGCTGGGCAGCTGCGCAGCACCGGACTGATGCTGGTGTGGGTGCCGCCCGACTCGCGCTGGCCCGATCCGGATACAACTTCTGTATAGGCATCGAGAGCGCAGCGCAGCCGAACAGAGGTGGAACCTCCCCCCCAACCGACGACGAGTCCGAACCCAAGCAGAAGCGGTCGTGCCGAGTTTTGTGCATCTTCCACGCCTTTAAGGTCGGAGGACGCAGTTGCCGCCGGCCCATGAGTGCTTTCATTACCAGCAGCACAGGGCCAGAAGAAAAAGCAGTGTTCGACTAACAAGCAGCTGCTATGCTCCACACCTTGCGCGGTGATCGAGACGTGCTGCAGCACCCTCTTGACGACGAGACGAACAAAGTTTGCATGGCGTGGAGCCTTTTGAGATCAATCCAGCATCGCTGCCGCGCTGGTCCACCCAAGACGCCCTATTGTCCTGACAGTTTCGTCCTCGGTTTGCCCTGTCCCGGTGGCGACGTACAAAACTTTATGGCAAGCCGAGTCTCGCCGAGGGTTTTTAGTCTGCGCGTCCAGGACATGTCGATTGGCAGCTGGTCTCGCGAGATGGGTCCGTTCCTGCAGGAGATGTTCGAGTTGGCGCGTGGTCTGTTGGCTTTCGAAGGCTTTTTGGCCCCAGCACCGTCACCAGAAGCTAAGGAGACACCACTCCGGAGGCGGAGGAGGACTTCCAAGGCTCCATGCTCGAGCTGGAGCAAAACCTGCGTGAGCGAGCAGCCGAGCACCGGAAGGATCGTGGCTACTCGCAACAATGCTTGCGGAAGCTGCGGCGATACTTCCGCCTCCTGCATGTAGTTCGCCAGGCGCACAAGGAGCGTGAGCGGCGGCGTCTCCTCCGAGCGTGGTGGCGTATTTCTGCTTTCGCAACCGCAGCAAGACAGGTATCTCTGAGGCGTTTGTGGCTGCTCGTGTGAGTAATTGTTGCACTCATGTTTTGGTATTTGGCTTGAAGCCCTTCGAGATCAAGCACCAGCATTGCTCGCCCTCCCTCGTCCATGCAAGGCTTTGCTTCGTGGCGTGCTCAGTCACTGCTGGCGGTCCAGCGGGCGCTACGTTGCTGCGCTATTGTGTTTCTAATCTCGTCGCGAAGTTGCATGCCAGGCCCGGAAGTTCACCGCCTGGGCCAAGGAGTGCCTGCTCGCCGTGGTGCCACAAGGCGGCTTCGTCACGCACGTGGTGCACGGCCCAGCTCTTGCAACGCTCGGTGCAGTCAGCAATGTCGCGACTTCCCAGGAAGTGCGCGTGACCTGGGCCGACCGGCAATGGGCAGACGACATGTCCTGGGCATGGACGTTGAGTCCTCCCCCTCACAGCGCAGATCTGGTGGCGCCCGACCCAGCAAAGCGTCGTCGAATACGCGTATTACAAACACAAGAATCGTCGAAGTCGTAACCACAATACTAGTAGTTACAGTAATATGTATGATAGTACTGAAAAGCTTCGCTTAGGGTTTAGGGCTTGGGGTTTCCGGCTTAGGGGTTTAGGGTTTAAGCTTTTGGGGGTTTAGGGCATTAAGTTTTCGGAGACTACCTTAACCCCCAAGACCATACCTTTTTAAGGAGTTATATAAGACAACGCATAAGGAGCCCGAAAAAGGGCAGGTTAGTTGGGGCCAGGCAGGGTTGCTTCTCCTTGACGTTCTTTGGTTGGCTCTTAGGACTTTAACGTTTGGGGTTTCTCTATGAACCATAAAAAGGAGGCTAAAAGTTCAACACTTACGAGGGGTTCAGAAGACGGCCCTGCAGATCGAGGCTTGCCGAGGCTGAGGACTGGTCCACCGAAACACAAATCAGCCAATCAAACATTACAACACGTCATATTTGTGTACCATAAAAACTTACATTTTTGCGGAGTTATATGTTACATAAAGAAAGCATAGTAAGGACCGAAACATTAAACAATGTCATACCCCATAAAGCCTAGCTTTGTGAGGGGGCATATCTATGTATATAAAGAAACCATTATAGGGAACGCCACAAAGCTAAGTTTTCTCGGCCACTGGCACCCGCATGCTTGGGATGTCAGCACCTATTGTCTTGCCGGTTCCGAGCAATGTCAGTTTTGCGCCCTAAACCCTTTCTAGAACCCGTTAAACGAATTCTCAAAGGAATCCTTATGGGAACCGTTCAAGGATCCCGATTTGGGAAGCTATGCGCCCCGAAGTGCTAAAACCCGAAAGCCCCAAAGTCCATCCCCGCAGCCTGGACATCCTAAGCCCCACAGGCGTACTTAAAGGATCATGGGACTTAGTAACTAGGGTTGTAATTGGGATGACTATACTAATAACTCCTTATAACCCCAATTAAGGTACTTATAACCTTACTTACTGAGTCCCATGATCCTCCAAGTAGGCTAAACCTCAACCCCATGAACCCAAACCCTTTCAAACGACACGATGCACAGGGAAACCGTGGACCTTTAATCAAGGCAAAGAAGACGATGTAACGGCCTGGCCTTAACGGCCAACGCGAAACAGAAGTTTTTTGAAGCCGAACGAAGAGCCAAACAAGTTTCAAAACACCGAAGTCATTGCATCCTCCACAAAAAGGACATGAATGAAGGAACGCTCTGCAATCCTAAAACTTAAGCCCCTAAACCCCTAAAGCCCCAGGCCTTAAACCCCCCAAACACGTAAACCCTCAATGGATCGGATCGAAATCCTAGAAGGAAAGTCCCCGCTGTTGCCAGGAACTGTCGAGCGGGGGCCCTTTCCAGTAAGTTCAGGCTACAAGGGTTTACTTAAAGGATCATGGGACTAAGTAGCTAGGATTATAATAAGGGGAACTATACTTATGACTACTTAAAACCCCAGTTAAGGTACTTATAACCTTATTTACTAAGTCCCACGATCCTCCAAGTAGTTCTCGCTTAAGGGATCCTCTTGAGGGTCTTATGGGGTTGTAGCGGGTTTGAATCGAAGTTTAGGATTTTAAGGCCTCTGGTTTTAAGGCTTTCAGATGCTCAGGCTTTATACAGGCTGAAGGTGTGAAGGTGGAGGTATTAGAGTGTAGATTTAGCGTGAAGGTCTGGAGAGTCTGATTGCTTTACGGTTTGAAGGGCTTTGCGAGTTGCGGCTTTCAGGTTGAAAGGTGTAGGGCGTCGAGTATTAGGTCCTGGTATTTTGAAGGGCTCTATGTGGGTGTAGAGTTTTCGAAATTTAGGGGTAGCTTATTTTGGGGTCCTCATAAAACGGATCTTACTGTTTAGGGTATTATATTAGGGTCCCCTATTTTCGGAAACTCCCAACTCATGTTTGGACTGTTCAGAGCTTACACGGTTCAGCTAGGGTACTCAGCCCGTCAGGGGCAATGAGCTGTAGGCGGTTTTGCTTGGGAGTTCCAGAAAATGAAGCATCCTAGTAAAGGGGCTTAAAACATTACCTATACTCTTCCTTAGGGCTCCTTTAAAGGGGTGTAGAAGGGCGACTATAAGGATATATTTTAGGGGCCTAAATGATTCCCAATACTTTTTTGGGTGGTTTCCTTGTTATAATAAAAGTTTAATGGGGTCTGAATCCCTGGCTTGGGGATGCCCAGCTGGTAGTGTCTCCTTACGGGACGTTTCTCTACCCCCAAGCCCTACTTTAGATATTGTGGCCCCACTGCGACCCTAGTGTTCAGAAGCTCCGGCTTAGAGTTTCTACCGAATATAAAAGCCCAAACCTGAATATTTGCCTGTATTGTTTTGGGGGGTCCGCATTACAACTACACTACGAAGGAGCCCCAAACCCTATTCTAATTAATAAAGCCCGTACAGTAAACCTCTCCCTTTCATCTAGGGTTGTAGCCTAGATCCGCATCGAGGCTGTCGTTGGCTGGACTTCTGGCTCGAACTCTGCTCGTCAGAAGTGGAACGGCTTTGGTAGGTGTTGTAAGCAGCTATGGCGTGTTCATTATTTCCGGTGATTTCCAGCCTCTGCGCCGTGCTAACATTAAGCATTTAACACTGAGTGTTAAGGTTTAGAGATGTGCTTTGCAATACGGATCAAGGTAGATGTGCTTGTACCCAGGGAAGTTTTACACCGACAGACCCGAGGCAAGAGCTGCACAAAGGACGGGAAGAAGCCCCGCTTCCGGGCTGACCTGAAGCGGGCTGTAGAACAGACTCCACTACACCGTAAACCCTAAATCCTAACAGCTAAAGCTTTAAAGAACTCCGTAAAGATAAATAACAACCCTAAATAATTACTAAACCATAAACCCTTAAACATTGTGGAAATAGGTGATAGACGTCCTGACAGTTCGTAAGACCCTGAGCCGATAATGTATTGAGAATTCAAGGGGTTTTGGATTTAAGTAGGGCTTAGGGTTTAGAGGCTTAGGGTTTGGGGTTTAGGGTTTTGGGCACTTGGAGGGTCAGGGGGACTTAGTAAGTGGTTATTTTAGGGACTTATAAGTACCATAACCCCAATTAGGGTCCCTTTTTAGTGTACTTATAAGTCTACTTACTACCTAGTTACTAAGTCCCCCGACCCTCCAAGCAAGGGGTCCAGGCGTCTTGGTCTCGACTGTTCGGTGCCTCGGAGCTGAGAAGACTCCGTCCACTCGCGCGCTTGCGCCATGGCGGAGGGGCTTCTGGCAGAGACGATGATGCCCCTTGGCTCTACCATGTTACAGTAGAAGCCAGAAAGTTGGAATATCATTATCCTAACCCCTTTAAGGTAAATTATAGGGGATCCTGCCATGAATCCATATTCCAACTTTCTGGGGTTCCCTTTATTATCATGACTACTACCATGGTGATTTCTGTGTGTATTATCATACTCCCAGGCCTTATCATGTTATTACTAGTACTATTCCCATCCGTATCGCAATAGGCACATCAGTCTGACCTTGAGCCTTTGCGAAGAAAGAAGACTATTACCATCGTGAGTTTTTGCTGGTAACATCATTCTCGATATCATGTCGTAGCAGTCTTCCTATATTACTACATGTTTTGGACTAACCTTACAGTCACCAGACGTGGGGTACTCACCGGGGCCTTGATGAAGCCCTAAACTCAAACCCCATCCTATGCAGTCTCGGAGCCTTTGTGGCCGCGCTCGGAATTGGAAGTACTCGGGAGGACCTCTATTATTCCTAAACCTAAAGTTTAATTCGTAAACCCTATACCCTAATTTCCAAACCTTTCCCTCGAGGGTTGTACACGGTTTCTTTGACATAGGTGTTTAGAGGGCGCGCTGGGCACCAGATCTCTTCATGTGCATTCTAAACCAGCGTATCTGGTACAGTGATGAAGATGCTGAAGATCATGCTGAAGATGAGTATGTTGATGATGGTGCTGGTAGTGGTGATGTTTTGTGGTGACGGTGACGGTGATGGCACGATGTTGCACATAGTACTGTCCTAGGAACAACACAAATGTCTTATCCAAAACAATTGGCAGGAGAAGCTAGAAGCCCCGGCAACCCTATAGCCCCCCACACCCTGAACACCTTCAGCTCTGCTGCGAGCTAGACCCACCAAGGCCCGAGAGCCCTAAACACCTCGAATCCCAAGAATAACATACACCAAAAACCTTCTTGAAGCCCAAAACCCCAAAACTTCCACACTCTCAGATCCCCAACAAGCGACCTTAGTAGTAGTAGTAGTAGTAGTAGTAGTAGTAGTAGTAGTAGTAGTAGTAGTAGTAGTAGTAGTAGTAGTAGTAGTAGTAGTAGTAGTAGTAGTGTAGAGTAGTAGTCCTGAGGTCCGTCCGCAAGATGAAGGAGCTTGGGGTGTAGAGCTTCCTGGGCGCCTGTGCGCGTTTGGGGTTTGGGGTCAGGGCACTTAGTAAGTCAGATTGTGGGTTTCCTGTCCGGGTTCGATAAAAAATTGTACAAGATTGTATGGCACAAGGGAACTGAGTGAGCAGAGGTTTTGTGCCTGAACTTACAGTTATGCATCATCAAAGTTGTGGTTGGCTTACGTATAGCCCTGCTTAGTCCTTGACCCTTTAAGTAGAGTTGGAGGTTAGGGGCTTCGGGAGTTCGGGTTCTTGTAAAAATTAAGTGCACCTGTAACGGTTCTACTTGGAGGTTCATGGGTAGTTATAAGTAGGGTACTTATACGTATAACTCATATTAGGGGATTTATAACCTCACTTGTAACTACCCATGCACCTCCAAGTATATGGCTTCGGGCCTTACGGGTTTGGGGTCTATAGTTGAAGATTTCGGATGTAGGAAATCTGTTCGGGTGCCCTTGCGTTAGGGAGATGTCTGGAGTCTCAATCTCTGTGCGGTTTTGGGGTTCAGAGTGTCGAGCTTAGGACATAGGCTCTAGAGTTTAGGGCTTAAGGCTTTAGAGTTGAGGATTGAGGTTCAGGTTTGGCGGCTTCAACCCTAATCTCCCATTTTTGGCTTCGGGTTTAGGTAGCTTGCATTCAACAGATACAACCATTGGCAAAAGCGAAGATCTACTCTTAGTGTCCATGTGCCTGAAGTGTTTATGGTTTAGGGTGGGGTCGCTGTATACTAGGTAGGCCTTCGGGACCTGTTCTAACATCCTCTTCTTGGGCCCAAGAGCATCATATTCACGAAGATGTTTCAAGCTTCAAGTGGCCAACTTTGTGTGAGAACTTTTAGGGGTTTAAAGTTGAGGCAGTAAGAATATCTCATCAAAGGCAGGCTGCAGTAGTGCTAAAAGCCTTTTCAGGACGCAAAAACAGCTGAATAAACAAACTTGCCGAGGCTCCAAAGTCTTGAACGTCAAATTCTCTACTCAAAGGATGATGGGACTTAGTAACTATAGAGTTAGAATTAGGGTAACTATGCTTTTATGACTACTCATAACCCGAATTAAGGTACTTATTACTAAGTCCCATGATCCTCCCAGTAGACCTTCAACCTTCAAAAACTTAAAGCCAAAGCCCCTCAAAGTCCCAAAGCCCAACATACGAAAGATCAGGAGCTCTTCCAAAAGTACGACCGCGACGGCGATGGAGTCATCTCCCGCGGTGCGCTGGAGGAGCATTCGTGTTTCAAGGGACTTGGGTTCAGGGTTTAGGGTTTAGGGCTTTTTGGGTTCAAAAGTTTAGTAACTAAGGTTTAGGGTTGCAGAAGTGGGTTTCAAAGGATGTGGGTTCAGTGTTTGGTGTCTATTGTTGGCTTAGGATTTAGTACTTAGAGTTTAGGGTTGCCGGGGTTGGGGGCTGTAGCGGCTCGTTCCAGTACTTAGGCTTTCATATTGCAAAGCACAACAACTACAGTTTTCGACTGGATTTCATGTGGGATTCAGAGTTTGCGGCTCGGTTTCGAAGTGCCCCGTTGTCCTGGAACCATGGTTATCCGAACACGGAAATCCCAACCCGTGGCCGTGTCCAAAAGCCCAAACCCCCAAGTTGGTCAAGGAAATCCCCGAAGACCCCAGAACTCCAAGCCCTAAATGGGAGTTTCCGAAAATAGGGGACCCTAATATGATACCCTATATAGTGGGATCCGTATTATAAGGACCCCAGAATAAGGACTATACAGCTGAAAAGCAGTCGCACTACTAAACGAAACTTACTTGACAAAAAAAGTTCCTAGTACCTCAATACTGAAATAGACTTACTTCGAAAACGTGCTACGAATACTGCAGCACCTCAAGACTTACTATATAACAAAAAGCGAAGCCCGCGCCAGGACATCCTTCAGAAGCTGTGCCCTGACATTCTGCAGCAGGCAAGCGGTTAAGGCTTACGGCATATGGTTGAAGGCTTAATGCGTGAGGTTGAGTAAACCCCAAACCCTAAACCCTACTTTCGATATTACGAGGTTGTCGCCAGGGTTTAGGGTTCGGGGGTTAGGGTTTGAGGTGGATGGTTTGGGGTTTAGGGCTGAGGGTCCTGCGAGACAGCACAGCAGATACGCCAAGAAAGATGCAGCGAAAGCCCATCCAGGTTGGATTGGATCTAGCCTAGGGGCTTGAATAATTAGAACAGAGTTTCTTTAAAAGGGTTCTAAAAGGGATCGTTAATTGGGTTCTAAAATATGGGGGGGCTTGATAAATCCAATAGGGTTTTGGTGTGTATTCTACTTATAACCACAATACGGAACCCCAGAAACCCTATTCTAATTACTACGGCCCCTGCCTTACGTCATATGAATGCTGTGTGTGTGTCTCTGTGTGTGTGTGTGTCTCTGTTTGTGTGGGTGTGTCTGTGTGTTTACAGAACAGCAAAGAATAACTTCGCCGAAGCTGGTTTGTCTTACTTTTGGTTAGTAGGGAATGGAAGAATGGTAGTAATGGTAGTTATAATTGTACCCCATTCCTCCATTCCCTACTAACCAAAGGTAAAGATCCCTTTAAAGGAACCCTAAACCCCTATAGATCTGAAGGAACCCTATAGATCCCTTTAAAGGAACCCGATTCCCTACTAACCAAAGGTAAGTTGTCCAGAAAATTGCTCGAAGCACCCCCAGGGCTTCAAAGCTTCAGCTCCGAAGACTTTGGTTTGCGTGCCGGAGCTGTGGATCCGAAGCCCTGTTTAAGGGTACTTGGGTTTAGGGTTTAGGGTTTGATGATATAAATCCTAGGGTTCCTTTAAAGGGATCCTTAAGGGTACCTTTAAGGGGCTTCTTTAAGGGATCTATAGGGGGTTTAGGGTTTGATGATATAAATCCTGCATTACCTTAAGGACCCTAAACTATGGGAATTATGGTATAAATCCGAAGCCCTGTTTAAGGGTACTTCGGTTGATCTTTAAAGGGGTCTGTAAGGGTACCTTTAAGGGATTCCTTTAAGGGGATCTATAGGGCTTTTGGGGCTTATAGGGTTGATGATATAAATCCTGCATTATCATAATGACCCTAAACTATGGGAATTGTGGTATATTCCTTCTTATGGGTAATGCAGGATTTATTTCATCAACCGTCGTACTGCAGGGGGCCCCTAAACCTGGAACCCTTGCCCCTGACCCTAAACCCAAAGCCCTTGGCCCTAAACCCTAACCCCTGTAGGGGTGGTTATCCCTGAGCTCTGAGCTGTGGATGCCACGCGCAGCAGGAGATGGACCTCATCTTCCGCATCTTCGCTGCAATGTTCAGGTTTTTGGGTGTGGGGGTTTTGGGTGCTTGATGGTCTCAAAAAGGATGTTACGGGTTTTCTGGGTGCTACAGCGTCTTGTATAGGAGCATGGGTAGTCCAGGAAGGCCTGAGGGGTACAATTGACTGTAGTTTTTACTAGGGAACTGAAAGCAGTACTGAGACTAGCTGTTCATGCCCCTAGATTCGGGGTCCCTCGGTTCCAAAGAAGTACCCTTATTACTTTATCCTGGGGTGTCTCCGTATTGAAACTGAGTGATTTACCGGCAAACCGCGCTAACGCTCTTAATCCTGAACTCTTGGCATTTAAGGCTTGTTCGTTTTTGGCACGGAGCTCCAAGAGTAGCAGCCTTCACCTTCAACACTACCCGAGCCCACAGGCCAAAGCGGCCAAAGCCTCAGCCCATGTAGCAGCACTTCAGTTTATGCAAGTACTAGTCGTCGTTTTCGGCGAATAGCTACCAAGAGTAGCAGGAGTAGTACTGTAGTCGTCCGTTGCAGTAGCAGTGCTCTCCCTCTTAGTCGTGGCCGCTTCCGTAGTTATCGGAGAACACTGCACACGGAAGAAGACAAGAACATGTACCATGTTGATGTATTCGGGTTTGAACTGATGGTTTTGCCACCCACCCAGGTGACCAGGCTTTTTCCCTGTGCATCGCCCTTTCAACTGTTAAGTAACGGGGTTCGAAGTTTTCCTCGTAGCGGTCCTTAACATTGTATTGAACCGGGCCGGTGTCGCAACAAGGCCTGCTTTGAATCGTTGGCCCTTCGATGGCTGCTAGGGCCCCCATGCACGCCAACACTATTTTGGGTGTTCCTCATTATGATTATAGTAGATCACAATGCGCCGCCGCGCCATAGTAACCTTTTTGAGCTCGGCTCAGTGAAGCGTGCCAGGCATTCGGAGCGAGTGCTCACCTTTCATTGCAGTTCATTAGGTACGGCCCCCACTCAGTACTCGTAATAGTTGAACAAATAATATGCATAATATAGATATAGTAGGACCTTAATAGTAGCCCTATTAAAGACTCTTACTGTATGGGGGCCGTACCTAAGCAGTTCACTTCAGGCTGCCTTTGCCAGCTCCGCTTTTGCAGTCATCCTCGGCCCTGTGCCCTCAACCCTCCGGACTCCGGATCAGCCTTGTCTTAGGGGTGCTTAGAAATAATTGTTAATTTTTGGTTATTATAATCCCTAAGACACAGCTAACAGTGTAATTTTTGCTAGGGTTCTAAGTTCAGTATAGCCTTGTCTAGAACAAAGACCCTGAGGATTTGGGGATACAAGGTTAAGGGTCAAGGGTTCCTCCATCAGAGATCGTTGGAGTTCCATGAGAGATGACTTGACGTTTTTAGAAGCTTCGCTACTTGGAGGTTCATGGGTAGTGATAAGTAGGGTTATTAGTCCCCTAATATGAGTTAGAAGTATAGTTACCCTACTTATAACTACCCATGAACCTCCAAGTATAGATACTAAATACTGTTCCCAGAACGGTGCGATAAAGGCTGTTAACCCACAGACAGAATGCGAAAGCCTCCTCCGAAATACCCTAAACTCTAAACCCTCCTACTACTACTACTACTACTACTACTACTGCTACTGCTACTGCTACTGCTACTGCTACTACTACTACTACTACTACTACTACTACTACTGCTACTGCTACTGCTACTACTGCTACTACTACTGCTACTACCGCTACTACTCCGAAATCCTTGATCCACGTCTCCTGTGCCCAAGGCAAGATCGACAGGAAACTTGGTGGGCAGATGGTTTCGGGTTCCCGAAACCACAAAATCACCAAACCACAACCAAAAAACAAAACAAACTAAAGCCATAAATCGCTAAATCCCGAGTCTTAAAGCTTTCTGGGAAGAAGCTGTAAAGCAGAAATCCTAAGCTAGTACCACCTTCATTGTCGTCTCTGGCCTCACGATTGAACTCTTCACCCTAAACCCTAAACTTCAGCTGCTTTGAGAGCATAGGTGCACATCGCAGAACGTGAAGGAAGCACACATAAGGCTTGCAGCAAGGTTTATTATTTTCAATATAGGAATACTATTGGGTTGCTACTGAGCAATAAGGGTTACTACAAGGAGCCTTTATGGCAGTAGGGCTGCAAGGCATGTCGAGGTTTTGCACGTTAAGTGCTCCAGGTTTTCGGATTGGAGGGGGCGGGGGCGCAGTGAGGGGGTTCTAGAGTTAGGGCAATCGTGGCCTGCTCCTGGGGTTTAGGATCCCTGGTTTTCGGGATTACTGTCTGAGATGTAGTTCTCCAATGCCCAGAACTTCAGCAAGAGTTTAGCTTGTTGGGTTGTGGTTGAGTGTCGTACAGATAGCACAGTATACCCCAAAACCCTGTTCTAGTTCTCGAGGCACCTTCTTATTAGTGTTTCGTTCCGTCAAGTTGTCGGATTGGGGCTGATTTCTTGGTCGATGCTTTTGCGGGGCTGCTCCCAGGCTTCGGGGTTGGTCCCGGGTATCAAACGTCGTAAGCTGCAATGAAAGGAACTACAACAATCTCGTGGAGTACGAGGAGTTCGCCCCTTTCCTGCATACATCACAGAGCAACCGGTGTTCACACCCGACCCGCATCCACTTACCTTTGGTTAGTATGGAATGGAAGAATCGTAATAGTGGTAGTTATAACTGTACCCCATTCATCCATTCTCTACTAACCAAAGCTAAGTCCAAGCAATCCCTTGGACCCGAAACCTTGAGTCCATCAAGCCGTTTAGCGTTTAGGGCTGAGGGTTTAGGGTGTTTTCGCCCTCGACCGACAGGCAACCTTCCATGGCCCAAGCCATAAAAAACCCTAAACCGCAGGGCAACCGGAAGCATAAACCCACGTCCCAAGTCCAGGGTGGAAAGCTTCTGTAAGGCTTAGGGTTTTGCGGGCTTCAGCCCTGCATTGGCATGGCCAAGTTCACAGTAGTTAAGCAATGAATACATATACATATACATGCATGTGCATGCACATACATACATATACATACATACATACATGCATGCATTATGTGTATACATTTGTACAAATGTCTGTCAATTTCGTTAAACCTGTAACTCAATGACTTCTCTGGGTTGTCGGACACCCTTTTAACCTCAGACTGTAAGGCCGTGCAGTAACCAAGTACCTATCCTGCACAGTAACCTAACCTGTCGATCCATCAACAACCGGAGCCCTTCGAACCTGTCAGCTCCCGTTGCAAGCTGCCCCCATTCGAGGTATCAAGTTCATGTCGACAAACAGGACATCTAGACTGTAACTTAGTGCGAAAGGGCCAAGAGGTGTAGGGTAAGCAGTACGCTCTCCATATTTTCGTAACTACAACAAAATTCCTCATCAAGAACCCACGTGTCCCATTGCACTAAACCCTAATCCCTAAACCCTAAACCCTTCACCCTAAATCCCTAAGCCCTTAACCCTAATCCCTAAACCCTTAACCCTAATCCCTAAACCCTAAACCCTAATCCCTAAACCCTTCACCCCAATCCATAAACCCCCCCGACGTGTGCCCATTACCTGGCAGGCATCAAAAAGGAGTTTTAAAAAAGAAAATCCCTAAACCCTCAACCCTAAACCCCTAAACCCTAATCCCTAAACCCCTAAACCCTAATCCCTAAACCCCTAAACCCCTAAACCCTAATCCCTAAACCCCTTTGGAAGGTCAACGCAATGTTCATGGATCCGACCGCCGAGCCGAAGCCACCTCCCCGTTGCCACGTCTCCTCCGAGGCGCCTCAAGGAAGACATTATACAGGGAACTCCAGAAAGTTGGAATATGGTTTCATGGTAGGATATCCTATAATTTACCATAGACGGGTTAGGATAATCATATTCCAACTTTCTGGCTTTTACCTTAGGGGCCTAAACAATTACAGGGTTCTGTTAAAAGGGTATTTAAGGGCTACTATTAAGATCGTCTCCTCAGGCGCCTCAAGGAAGATATTTGGGAGTTTCCGAAAATTAGGGGGTACCTTTACAGGGATCTGTAAGGGTTCCTGTAAGGGATCTATACGGGTTCTATAAAGGGTTCAGGGTTTAGAGTTTCCGAAAATTAGGAGTACCTAATTTTGGGGTCCTTATAATAGGGATCCTACTAGTTAGGGTACCATATTGGGGTGCCCTATTTTCGGAAACTCCCATGTTTGGGGCCTACACAGTTACAGGGTTCCGTTAAAAGGGTATTTAAGGGCTACTAGAAGGATCAGGTTTCTCAGTAGCTTAGTGGCCCAAAGCCCAACTTTTCAACTTTTGGGGCTCTTATACTAGTCCAGTTTTATTGGAAAGTTAGAACTTTTGCCCCATAAGTATTTGAGAATTACGGGTAGGAGTCTCCACAACAAGCATCCTGATTCGTAAGCCACATACCAGGGCGAAGTCTTACATGCAGTTCAAAAGTATAGCCACCCCTAAACCCTAAACCCCTAAACCCCTAAACCCTAAACCGTGTTTTCCGCTTGCAGTGTTCAGGCTGCCACCTTGCATGAGGTATGCCCCTGCTAAGCCACCTCGGACCCCAAACCCCTGAAGCCATACATCCCTACTTGGAGGTTCATGGGTAGTTATAAGTGTGGTTATAAGTTTCCTAATAGGAGTTATAAGTATAATTACCCTACTTGTAACCCCACTTGTTCCTACCCATGAACCTCCAAGTAGAGACTTAAGACTCTTAGAACCTCAAGCCCTACCCCTGAACGCCTCGAAGCCTTTAACCCCTGAAGCCTAAAACCCGATGCTCAAGTTACCCTTAGTCTGCATCCCGGGGTTTGCCAGCCCGCACGCTGATGTTTTCATAGGGTTAGTTTGCCTGAAAGCTGTCAAGCAGAGAGTTTGTTGCCATAGCGGTTCGCCAGGCATACCTTCCGTGCTCACGTGTTGCATCTGTGCAACCAATTTTCCAACGCGGCGTTTGCACCAATCTCCTCCGAGTGTCAATCATTTCAACGACATTAGCATCGACGAGATTGGAGCCCGTGTGTCAGCTGTTTGCTGCAACATGAGTTAGAAGGGCCCCCACCCCCTGTAATAGTGGTATAATAGGAAAAGAACTTGGATCCCTCTTATAATACGGCACCTAATATTTAAAGTGCCCAAAAAGGGACCATAATTTTGACAACCACCCATGTGTGGATGCAGCCCGAACGCAAACATGCCCGGCTGTAAAGTCCTGGCCGACATCGCTGGAGCACCATGGGACCATTCTGTCAGGGTCAGTTCCCGCCTCCCTAATGCACTAACCTCAAACGGCCAAGACGATGGTCGAACGCCAATGCTGTTCTGCATTTATTGCATCCTTGTTTGCAGCAAGTGCCCAAAGCCCCGAACCCATGCACACGATTTTCCTGCGTTACACCTGTTGGCCCTTTGTCATCTCAGCTTGACCCCTAACCCCTAAACCCCACCCTAAACCCTAAAACCCTAAAACCCTAAACCCTAAACCCCACCCTAAACCCTAAAACCCTAAACCCTAAAACCCTAAACCCAAAACCCCTAACCCCTAAAACCCCTAAGCCCCTAAGCCCGGCCTGGATGCTTACTTCAGCTCAGCAGTTGAACAGCCACTAATACGGTTGATGATATATATATATATATATATATATCCTGCATGACCTCAAGGACCCTAAACTATGGGAACTATGGTCTATTCCTTATTATGGGTACTGCAGGATTTATATCATCAACCGTCGGCTGGTCGAAACGGTCGTCTCAGTCTCTGTCGTGCGAATGTTTTGGCCCGGGGCTCCTTCTTAGACGTCTACATGGGTGGTTGTCAAAATCATGGTCCCTTTTGGGTCCCTATTATAGTACGGCACCTAATATCTAGGGTATCCAAAAAGGGACCGTCATTTTGACAACCACCACATACTGAAACCCTAAACCCTAAAAGCCTTACACCCTATGCCCCAAAAGCCCATTCTTCGGTGGATCCTGGGAGTGCACTTTTCCAGGAATTCCAATGGTAGTTTTGCGTTTTTGTTACGCAATACTCAATCTAAGGGGTACGTACACTCCGGCAGAAACATCGGATTGTTGCTGCAGACTAGACCCCCAAAACACACAAACAGCCAAAAGAACAAAGCAACCAGCAGCAAACAAAACAAAAGCAAAGCAAAAGAGCTAAGTAAGCACAGATAAAAGAACCAAACGGATCATCACTATTATTATGACTCTTGTTAACGTTGTTATTACTAACTATAAGGCCCTCACATGACAAACAAGCCCTATGAGCCCTGAACGAAAGTCCGCTTCCCCGTGGCAGAGGCGATCTACGTCCTATTCCTTTTCTGGGAGCAAACAGCCGAGCTCCCGAAGTCTGGAAGGGCGTTGTTTGGGGTTTTAGAGCTTAGGGTTTAGGGCTTTAGGGTTCAGGGCTTCAGAACTTAGTTTCGAGATTAGGGTTCAAGGTTGAGGGTTATAGGTTTAGAGTCATAATTAAGGGCTTCCGTGGGCGAATAGAACCCGAGTTCTTTCTGCAGCATACGTTTTCGGGAGGGAATAAATTCTATGCGTACTCCTCAGGGTTCCTTAACATATGTGCTGGCAGAGCAAAGTAGACGAAGTACCGCAGTAGTTCTAGAAGCTTGCGGTTGGATCTCCCCGGCACCTCTGCCATGGCTGGGTGTGTTTGGGCTATAAACGGAGCTTTAAAGCTATAATCAGTGGGATATCTGGTAGATATTTTCCTTTTCATCATTGTGAAAAGTTGAGTTATGCTCCACAACAGAAGACTTGCTCTGATATTGCGGTTCTTTAGGGATCTACGAGGGTTCAGGATTCAGGGAGTTAAGACGGTTCAGGCTTGGGTCGAAGTGGGCATTAAGGATGAAGGACCCTTAGCGGGGTAGGGGGGAGGGGGTTGGGGGCCTGAATACCCATAACAAGGACTTAACAAGGCCTGTTTCAGGAAGTATAGTCCCCTACCCCCCATCGGTTATGGCTTAGGGAAGATGTGGTCCGTTCCTAAATACGGCTGACTGCTGTGAGGCTTAAGGTTGAGGGAGTGGAGAAGCCACAGTTTTTCTGACCTTGGCGGCTGCGTTGCAGCGGCCCGCACCGTCATCGGAATCCGGCTGACATCGCCGCCACAACATCGAGTTTCATCTCCGGCTGCGGCTGCATGGGAGTTTCCGAAAATTAGGGGTACCACATTTCGGGGTCCTTATCATAAGGATCCTACTATGTAGGGTACCATACGAGGGTTCCCTATTTTCGGAAACTCCTGCATCATGTTGGGCATCTCGTCTCACTTCTTGGAAGGTTCATAGGTTCCTTATTGCAAGTATAGTATAGTGGGCCCCAAAACCCAATCCTAATTATTTACGCGCCTATACTTGGAGGTTCATGAGTAGTTATAAGTGGGGTTAGAGGTAGGCTAACTATACTTGTCACCCAAATTAAGGGACTTATAACCCTACTGATAGCTACCCATGAACCTCCAAGTAGCCGCTTATGAAAATTTCTGATGATTCACAGGGAACTGGCTCATGCTGAGGGGCTTGTTCGCATCATTGCCCGTAGCATAGACTCTAAAGCATAAGGAGACCTCGCATCATACGCACGGGGAAAGTTTCTTTCTCAGGAGGGGAGGGGGGAATGGGCACCTCCCCTCCTGAGAAATACATTTTCCTTCCCAACGAAATTCGAGCCCTAACTCTAAATCCTAACCCCTAAACCCTAAACCCTAAACCCAAACTCTAAACCCTAAACCTCGCACCAATGCAGGGTGCAAAGCTTCGCCTTTAGCCTTTAGAGGGCTCTACAAGGCCCCAAAGGCTCCATGTACCCATATGGGTGGTTGTCAACATTAGGGTCCCTTTTGGGGTCCTTATTATAGTACGGCCCCTAATATTTAGGGTACCCAAAAAGGGACCACAAATTTGACAACCACCCATATAGTAGGTACTTCGGCCGTAAAGTAGCTCTATCGGGACACCTCTCTTCGTAGTGTGCCTTGACTTCCTGGTTGCCTAACGCCCTTAAGGTCGGTTCTTCACCAGCATGAACCCTGCTCCCTGAGCCCCTAAACCCTAGAGATCCCTGAAGCCCAGGAGCTCATACAGCAGCCTCAAGAATCAGAATAGGGTTTTGGGAGTTCATTATAGCTACATGTGTCTATCTGTCTGCAAATTCTCGACAAACTAGAGGAACAGATAAACGAAGCGTCAAGCTAGGCTGGGCGGCAGACGCGGCCAGGACCTGTCCCAAAGGCGCGATACAGGAAAGTCTCGAAGTCCGGTACCCACTTCCGGTGCTTTGCAGGGTTTCAGGCTTCGACGGTTTGGGGTGAACTAGGAGTTCGCGGCTGTATGGCTTCAGGCCTTCGGGCTTCTGGGGTTTGGGGTTTTGGTTTCTGGTGAATGGGTTTTCCATCTGATACCTCGGCTTCTGATGGAGAAGGCATGCCGCGAAGCAGGCGGGACAGCTGTAGTTTGAGACAGGCTTACAGTGGGCACTTACACCACAATGCCCTTGGTTTCAGAGGTTCAGGTTTCACTAGATGTGAGACGAATACTACACCCAGAGGTTTAGGAGTTTCGGCCCCCTCATTCTTCACTGCTGGGAGAAGCATTAGTTCTACAAGCGGTGTCATGCTGAATGTCCTGGATGAGTTCCGATGTTATTTCTTCCGATGTTATTTCTTATATAACATAGCCCAAAAAAACCTGTTCCAACTGTTGACTGCCCCATGCTTTTGCCAAAGACTTCGGGGCCTGAAACCCCGAGCACCTGCCTGCTCTTACGACGCGAGGTTTAGGGTTTCGAGGTTAGATACACGGGCTCTCCTTCCTAAACCCAACCCACCCCTGAACCCCTAAACCCTTAAACCCTACACTCCTCAACCCCAAACCCCCAAACCCCTAAACCCAGCCCTACGATTTTGACCCGTCCTCATCCAACGAAGTTCTGCCAAAAACTCCGCCCCTGAGACAGGCGAAGCTGGCGGAAGCAGTCCAGTACTTCGGCTGTCCTTTAAAAGGGTCCCTTTAAAGGGGGATCTATAGGTATCTTAAGGATCCCTTTAAAGGGATCTAGAGGGATCTTACGGGTCCCTGTAAAGGGATCGATAGGGATTCTAGAAGGGTATAGGGTTCAGGGCCCTACTTGGAGGTTCCATGGGCAGTTATAAGTTTGGGTTCTAAGTCCCCTGATATGAGTTATACATAAGTATAGTTACCTTACATATAACGCCACTTATAATTACCCATGAACCTCCAAGTATAGGCGCCTGAATAATTAGCATTAGGTTTGGGGGGCCCACTATACTATACTTATAAGGAGCTCCCAAATGACACTGGCAATTTTTTAGGCCCCGATATTGCTTGACTGCTCTTAGGAACTTTTTCTTCAGGGGATTAAGAATATTTTGTTTAGTCTGGTTCTAAGCGCGGCTAAGCCTAAACTAGAAGGAATTTAAATATTTTTTTGTAGAGTTGTTTTTGTGTCTTCGGATTCTGGAGTCGCTAAGGCTAAGGGATTCTCGAAGAACAGTTGTTGCTGCCCTTCTAAGAGGGTCTCGCGCTCTGCTAGAAGGCAGGAGTACCTCAATTCTCGGAAGCTTCCATGTTGGACTGCTTAAAGGATCATGGGACTTTGTAACTACGGCTATAATTAGGTTAACTATACTCATAACTACTTATAAACCCAATTAAGGAACTCGTAACCTTACTTACCAAGTTCCATGATCCTCCAAGTGAGGGAATGCAGAACACCTCTCCTTCAACGGGGGTTGGCACTAGGGATCCCTGTACTTTGACCCGTGAGCTGAGGGCCGTAGCGGATCAGGAATCTCCGCTTATCCCAGGACCGTTCATGTATAGCTGTTGCCCAACTTTTTGTCTCATAAGTGTCTTGATAGCGCTTGTGTGTGGGTTCTTCTGAAGCCCGGTCGAAGCTTTTCATTGCATTGCCTTCATGGAAGATTGTTCTTGCGGCAGTAGCAAGCCGCACGCATTCAGCAGCTGCGTAGGTAAAAGGCGAATAACGCACGCTATTTGAGCTTTCTTCTCAGTTTGTAGTTTTTCACCTGCAAAACCTACGAAAATAAGCTTCGCTAACAAGCTGGGACATCCTTGTTAAATCCCTGCCGAGCACCTTCTAAAAGCCCTTGTGACCGATCAACTCCCTGCGGAAGGTTATACTACTGCTTCAAAGAAAATCTGCACAGCCCCGCTTCACGAAAAGAAGCCACAAAATGCCGAAGCTTCCAACCCTGCAGTCCCAAACACCAAAAACCCAACATCCTAAACCCGAAACCTTGAACGCCAAACCCCGAACCGAAAGCCCCACACCCTAAACCCCGGAGAATCTCAGAACCTCAACCCCTAAACCCCTCCAAACACGCCCAAAATGGAAGTGCCGAGTTACAACACGTACCCATTAATGATGGTGAATAGGTGTGCATTTATAGTTTCATATGTGGTTATATATGCATGTGTGTGTATATATGTACATATATATATATATATATATATACGCGTTGTTTACTTGCTCCACTCTTTTTTTGAGTGGTTATACATGTGTCTGTATAGTCCATGTTTCGTTATGTAACATCTTTACACGAGCCTATGTCTAAAGGTATGTATATCTATACGGAAATACAAGATATACGTATATATGTATGTAGACATGCATTCTCATTTGCTTATCACCGTGGTGGAGTCGTTACCGAGGATGGGTAGTCGCCAGCTTCGAGTCCGGAAGCCAAGCGTCGGTGGCGCCACTTTCGGAGTTTAAAGCGACGCCTCTTTTGCAGAATCTCTGGATGAGTCTTCTTAGAGACTGGCTGATCTACTTTTGTTTTGGACGGGCCGCCGCTTCTAAACCCTGAACCCTAAACCCTTCGTCTTTCATGTGCGGTTTTAAGGTTTCTGGTGGCTCCTGTGGCGGCGTTCACGGACCAAGTACTTCACAACCCCTCGTCTTCCCGGAACCTGCGATGTTTTCCCATAGGTACAATATAGATGTGCAATGTATAGCATGTATTTTTGGACATACATAGTAATTCTGTAACGTAATATGCTGAATATAGCTTGTAGTCATGTGTGTATATATATATATATATACAAATACAACAACATGTGAAAGCATAACATAATGGAACTTACCTGCTTGCCAGGGTTACAAAACAGTAGCTATACTTATGTCTTGCAGCTCAAAGGAAGCTACATATCTTACTTGCGAAGTGTATGACCCACCAAGTCGTATTCTTGAAAGCAGTATCAGAAGCCCTTGTGTAATGAAAGGAACATTCCTGAGTCAAGCAAAAGCTCAATCGCTCTGCACAACTTTCCAAACCTCCATATCTAAAACCTTGTACACTCTCTAGACACCCTTAATACCCCTTCACAAACTTAAGAAACCCTAAATCATAAACCTATAAAGCCCCCTAGGTCTTTAGGCAAAGACCCTCAAGCCATCGAAAACCCCGTAGACCCTGTAAACCCACTAAGACTCCTCAAGGCTTCAGACCTAACCGTGTGGGTCCCGGACTTGTACCCAGGCCCTGCAAGCCCGAATCGCCAAACTCGGTGAGGAGCACCGGGAGGCAGCAGACACGGGGTTTCCGGGCCTTTAACTTTAGGATGCAGGGTTTAGGGTTTAGGGGTTTTCATTAAACCCCAAAGCCCCAAAGCCCTAAACTTACCTTTGGTTAGTAGGGAATGGAAGAATGGTAGTAATAGTAGTTCTAATTGTACCCCATTCCTCTATTCCCTACGAACCAAAAGTAAGCTTTAGGATGCAGGGTTTTAGTCCGTTGAACTTCGGGGTTCAGGGCTTCACGGACCTTGAGTTTAGGGTTTAAGGTTTTGGGTCCTTGACCTTTAGGGTTTAGGGCTTTACGGACTTTGAGTTTAGGGCTTGGCGATTAGAGCCCAAAGACGGTCCACAGACAGAAACTGACAACATGGACATGCACATGGGTGGTCCCGTTTTGGGTCCCTAAGAGAATACGGCACCTATATTTAGGGTACCCAAAAGGGGTGCAGAATGTTGACAACCACCCACATATATACAGATGCACATGCTATGCGTGTACAACACAGTCGTCAATGTAGACATATCAGCATATGCATACTGAACCCTCACGCCTGAGAGCCCAGCAAACCCCAAACCGCTAGGCCCCGAATCCCCAAAGCGACGAGCCGCCCAGAAACTTTGATCCCTTACCCCTTGAACTCCTTAGTCCCAACTGCAAGGGTAGATCTCTAAATTAGGGTCCCCTTTGAGGTCCTTTTTAGGAAGGCTTATAACACACCCCTAAACTAGCCCAGAACCACTGAAGATTCGGAGAAACTTTGGATGCAGGTGCAGTCGGTGGAGTCGGTGGCTCAGAGAGACGGGGGGAAGGAAGCCTTGAGTGGTTCATAGCACCCTACTTATTGGGGTTTAGGGTTCAGCTAATGTGGTGGCCTGAATATTTACCGGGACTAATGCTATTCTCGGGGTTCCTCAGTGTACTTATAGGATATTACAGTAGAGTATACCCCGAAACCGTGTTGCAATTATTAAGGCCCCTTTAGCAAGCCTCACAATGGCCCTTTGAAGGAGTGCCTAGTTACAGGAAACCAACCGAGTTTGAATACTACGGCCCCCCATAGGTTAGGCCATACAGGGTTTTGGTTTGTTGGGTGCAGGGCTTATGGTTTCAGAGCCTAAGATGCCAGAGCATTGGGGAAGAATCCTACTGCTGACGGACAAATACTCCGGAATCCGCCCTGGTGCCTCAGTTTCTGGTATTCAGTGTAATGTAGGGCAAGTTTAGCGTATCAACAGCAGGGGGCTGGGTTAAGCCCGAAGTCTAAACCCTACGGCTCTGGAATATTGAGGGCCGTGGTGGATTTTGACCAGAGACCCTGGTGTCGTTTTCGTTTGCCGGGTTTTGATTTCAGGTGTTTGGGTTAGGGTCCGGGACTTCTTCCAAGGTTTGGCTGCAGGTTGCGGGCAGTTAGCCCCTAAACCCGTAATCCCTAAACCCATAAACCCTCAACGCTTAAACCCCTATTTTAAACCCTAAATCCCCTTAACCCTTAAACCCCAAAACCCCTAAACCCCTAATTCCCGAAACCAAAAAGCCGAAGCAGGCTCCCATCTTCCCACTTCCTAGCAGAGTAAAGTAAGCTTCAAGCTTTGTAACATAGGGGCCTTTAGAATATGGTTCCTTGTCAGGGTTCTTTCAAACGGGTTCCATAAGGGTTACTATAAGGGCTTTATATTATGGGCCTTAATACGTAGAATAGGCTTGTGGGGTCCGTTATGCTGTAATTATAATCAGGAGCCCCCAAATAGTAGAGGCAATTACATAGTATACTCCTCAGGATATGACCCTAAAGGCCTGAGGCCCATAAAGCCGGAAAGGCCGAGGCACAAATTTCGTGAAGTCGTCGACTGAGTTGAATCCGCACAGCGCCTGTGTTCAGGTCCAAAGTGGTATCTCGCATCGCGCACAAAGAGGCACCGGCAGTTTGGGGGGTTGAGGCTACTAGGTATTCACATCTTGCTGCTAGGTTTGGAGACTCAAGTAATTGCGGTTTCCGAATTCTAGGCTCTAGGGTGTAGTGTAGGTAGTATCGTTGGATTGCGAGTTCAAAAAGGGCTCAGGCATTGTCCGGCTTGCTAGGCTGGCCACCAAGCAGTGAGGCTGCTCCTGGGAGATGTGACTTTGAGCTGTGCTTCCAAACTGTTCTGTGTCGCTTATGTACTCCTTCATCCAGGTTTCATCGGGTTTAAGCATACATTAAACCCCAAACCGCAAACCCTAACCCTAGACGCTAAAGCGCAGACCCGCCAAAGTTACGAAAGGATCCCAGAGATGCCCATAATTCCGAGCACAGCCTTCAGCGCCGAAATTCGCTAGAGCCTTGGGTAGTACTCTTGTACTACAGGGGCCATAATGGTTGCCTATACCGTTTTTGGGGGGTTTCTAAGTCTAGTATACTGGGCCCCGAAACCCTATTCTAATTATTAAGGCCCCTGTACTATTACTCTTGTATCCTTCCTCTTTGGTGTCTCATCAGTTTACGGCTCTTGCCGAGTGAGTTGTGGATGAATGGCTTGAAAGGGAGCAAAGGTTGCTAAGACTTCATACAGAATCTTTAGACTCCAGGCCTTTCTGTTGAGAACTAAGGAGAAGGTATGCCTTGGACACTGCCCCCACTCAGTATCAGTTGGAGAACATGCATAATATACTTAAAGGATCATGGGACTTAGTAACTAGGGTTGTAATTAGGGTAACTATACTTATAACTACTTATAACCCCAATTAAGGTACTTATAACCTGACTTACTAAGTCCCATGATCCTCCAAGTAGATATATGACGACCTTAACAGCTCTATGACTGTCACTGCACGGTGGGCCGTACCAAAGGTATGCCCAGTCAACTGCTGCAGGTCCTTGCAAAGGTCCAGGACGCCCCCAACGAGGTGACGCAGGACTCCTGAGGGTTGTTAGGGCTTCGTTTCCTGGGCTTTGAAATGCCATGCTTTAATGTATTTTTTCTCTGACCTGTTCCTGAAAGGGAACCATTATGAAACAGAAGTCTATACTTTTTTCTCCCCGGTTACTTCAAAGTGCAGTGTTTTCAGGGTCAGGGCTTACAGGGTTTGCGGTACAGGCTTTCTTGCTAGCGGTTCGTCTACCAATACTAGTATTGTTATGGTGTAACAGCGTTTGCACTGTCAGTGCTATCCTCTTGTTATCTTGCTGTCGCCCCTACATAGCCATGACATGATACGGATCTTCCGATCATTATTCAGGCCTGCGTACCCGACCTCCAATTCCTGAAAGACCCCAGAATGGCAGGAGATGTTTGCACGGATGATTTGGCCGAAGATGCTGGGCAATGTCTCGGTTTTTGGTTTTTGATAGGGCGGGTAGTATGTGCCACAAGAAAGAAGAAAACCATTAGGGTCTAGTGGCCTGAGGAATTAAAGCATGATTTGAGGATATGATATGCTGGAGCTATATACTACTTGGAGGTTCATGGGTAGTTATAAGTAAGGTTAGAAGTAGGGTAACTATACTCATGACTCATATTAGGGGACTTATAACCCCACTTATAACTACACATGAACCTCCAAGTAGGGCCCACAAGTGGAAATCATTTTCGCTGCACCAATATACTTCTCGAGCTTCTGCTGCCTCTTGTGAGTATGCTGCTGATGGTTGTGTTTTATCTTCGCGTTTCAGTCTTCATCTAGCCAGCGTCCGTAAAGAGTCGAGAAACTGGACTGAGAGTAAGTACCTTTTTTGCGAGCTCGATGTGTTGTCCATGCTTCACCCTAGATTCCCGGTAGAATCGTGTTTCCTTTTTGCACATGGGGTTGCCTTGTAAAGCTGAGTAGCAGGAGGTTAACAGCACATGCTTTGTTTATGGGGTCTACTTCATGAGCATCAGCCGCCATCTGAGGATCAAAACCTGCCGCTTGGCTCAATTCATGGGCCGAATCCTCTAAGCCCTAAACCCCAATCCCCAAAGAGAACCCTAGACAACTCCTGGCCTCTGGCCTTATCTAAGCCTGGACGAAGGGCAAACATAAAACGGAGCTCAAAAAAAGAAAAAGACAACCCTAGACCCTATCCTCAAAGGGAGCCCTAAGCACTTAAAGGCCCTAAAGGGAAGCCCTAAACGCTCAGGGTCCGGTGATTTGAAGGCAGGTCGTCATCTCCTACAGCATCCAACACCCTGTAGCCGCCTAGCCACCCTCAACCACCAAACCCCCGCCCACCCCCACCAAAAGCAAAGTACCCTTAAACCCTCAAAGCTGAACGCCTTCAACGCGCTGCCCAGTCGATATGAAATACGTCCTCGGGTCCTTCCGGCGCTACTTTGCTCAGGCGGGTTCTTGGGCTCTTCCAAAAGCCTGCCCGACCCCCATTCCAAAAATCGCACGAATTGGAACACTGCAAAAAACGTCCTGCACTGTCGTCTGGGTCTACGGCAGAGTGACAGAACACCCGAAACAGAGACGTAGTCATTATGTTGGTTAGGCCTTGGCGTTTTTGAAGGGTTCCACCTCACCTGTTTGGGCCTTTCAGTGGTCCTTCTCTGATAAGTTAGGGTTTAGGGCTGAGTGGTCTCCTCGTTGCATGTGTTGAGGGATCGAATGCGTCCATCAGTTGCATTTGCCGGGGTTCGCACGCTTGGGGCTGGGATTCAAGGCTGAGACTGCTTATAAAGGGAACTCCAGAAAGTTGGAATATCATTATCCTAAGCCCTTTATGGTAAATTATAGGGAATCCTACCATTAATCCATATTCCAACTTTCTGGAGTTCCCTTTATGAGGGTTGTATTGGCTGTTGTACCAGGGCTCGAGAGGCGAGTCAACAGTGGTTCATCAGCGGGGGAAAGGAGATGAAGGATTTAGGTTAAGGTTTAGTGTTAGGGTCGGTTAGGGTTGACGGTTGGCGCAAATACAGGGTGTTGTCCATTCTGTGAGCAATGGTTCTGTAGTATTGAGAGGGTGTGGAAGTCTAACAGAACCAGACATGGAAAGTACGTCCGCCAAGCAGGCTCGTTGAAAATTGAAAATGAATTCCATTAACCTCAATGAATTTCTGTATACTTGGTTTCGGCGAGCGGGGTTCTGTTTTTTTATCATTCGTATTCTGAACAATGCAAGGGCGTAGTCCTTCCGCCACGAAAGCATAATTGAAGCTTCAAGTCCTTAACCAAAGCTCTTGAACGCCGTCAGCCTTCACAAGCAGCACCTGCGGCTACACAGAAACATGAAGAGCGTACGTAGATCTCTATCAGATGTCGTCCATACAAAGGTGGCTTGTGTATTTTCAGTTAGGGTTCTGTCCGGTTTTGGAAGCTTAAACCGTTTGTGGTAGGCCCAGACAGCTCTCATAAGCGGAACGATACACGCTGCAAACGCGTGTTTGATTAAGCTCCCCGCATGGTTGTTAAGCCTGTGCAAGACGACGATACCTGCCGGATCCCGCGTGTAGCCCCAAGCCTCAAAAAGCGCAAGGGTTGAGTCCTTCTGAACCCTAAACCCCAAACCCTACACCCTAAACCCTCCCTAAACCCTAAACCCTATAGCTCTAACTCCCAAGAAGCGCAAGGAAGGCTTGAGCCGTATCCTCGCAGCTGTGCTTGCATCGAAGAAGGCCCCCTCGGGGATCGCCTTCGGGCATTGCCTTGGGAATCACTTTTTTCATATTTGGGATCCTGAGAAGTAAGGTTCCTTTAGAGGGTTCCTTCAGGGGTTCTATCTCATTAGCTTACCTGAGTGTGCTCTAAGCAATTATTTTTCGATTCGCCATTTTGATAACAGTCCGAGGGGTTCTTAGCTTCAGCAAGTTGGGAGCAAAACATATGCGGAAGTCATCATATACGAGCGGGTCGATTGAAAAGGACTTTCGGGTTTCCTTTTTGCTGCCTTCTAACCGGAGTTGTGGTTACAGCATGTGATATACCATACCGTGTTTCCTACAGCATGTAGTAGCCAGCTGTGGCAATGATGTAGTGTCTTGTAGTATGCCCTTCCTAAGCAAGCCCCTTACCCTCTACCCCACACCCTGTACCCGAATCCTTAAGCCCAAAGTCTACACCTTCAACATTTCGAGTCTGCTGCAGCCCACTACGATGCTATTGGGTGGTTTGGGAGGTCCTGAAGATCAGGGGTCAAAAATAGATTCATTCGAGTCAAGTCGGGTTGGAAAGGGGGTTCAACAATTCGACTAGGTTTTCGGTGCTTGTTGCAGTATGACTTTATGAACACTTTCTGGGGATACTATGGAGCGAATCAAGCCGCCTCCTACAGTATGCGCCGATAGTAGAGCTTTGGGCCATATGGGATACCATGTCCGACCCGTCTGTTGGATCTCGAACAATCGAACCATGAGTCAAGGGACTGCGTATACTCTGGAAAACTCCCGCTCGATCAGCCACAAATGGGCTCAGGGTTCAATTATGGTGTAACTCCACATGCGTGAAATGTGCCGACAAATAGAGCCCACATCCCTTCTCTACATGCTGTAGGCACCCTTATGGCCTTTCATGCGTTGCTGGAAATGTAAGGTATTTCAACGACCCAGATCCCCAAGAGACCGAAATATGTTAAAGACATAAAATCCCTGGACCCTAAATCCCTAATCTTCACATTAAACACTGAAACTCCACAACCCAAGCCCGAAGACCCCAAAAGTCGAAATTCGTTCAAATCCTAAACCCCTACAGTAGACCTTGTAAAGCTGGAAACTGCAAGAGGTAGGTGGCATCTTTGCATTATTACAAAAGTCCGTCAGGCCTTATCTGTTCGTGAAGAGTTTTAGCGGCCCTGAAGCTACAACCGAGACATTGCTCATTGGTGCTCTTGTGCCCTACATTTGCTTTTGTGGCGCTAGTTCCCAACTTGTTAGCATTTGCTGTAATTCCGATTACACCTGGACTCAATAGCCAGGAATTGAGCTTCTTGGGCAACGCCAAATCCCCAAACCTTTGTAAAGCTACACATAGATATTCAAGAGTCCTGTAAAGAGTTAAAGAGCATTGCTATGGAACTTACAGCCCTTGTGAACACTGTCACAATCATCGGTTTAGATCTCTAAACTCCCAAAAACCTTACTCACTGAAAAGCCCGCACCCTAGATGTGAAAAGGCACCCCGAACGACCCGTACAAACTCTTGCAAAACACTTTTAAAAATGCCAACTTTTTTTAACACAAACAGAGACCTGCAAAATCCATGGACCTTGTCAACCCGTCAAAGCAAGGTCCTCATACCATACTGTGAACGGGAACTTTTGGGGAGAGTAACACTTATAACAGGGACTGTATGAAGGACTGTAAAAGTGACTATAGAAAAGCATTAAGTATCCTTTCAAAGCTGCGCAGAGCGGCCAAGCTGCTAAAGCCTCCCAGCTGCATGCCGAATGGTGTGTTTTCTACTTGGAGGTTCATGAGTAGGGTTATAGGGGTTCCTTTAAGGGTTTTATACGGTTTAGGGATTGGTGTTTTAGGGTAGGTATAAGTACGGTTATCAGCCCCCCATTATGAGTTACAAGTGTAGTTACTCTACTTCTAACCCCACTGCCCACTGTGCAGAGCATCAGGGCTCTAGCTATGTGGCATTGCAAATCTGGGTGAATGTTATAGGTGTCTGCACATGAGGCGAATGCGACTTGAGGGTTGTTTCGAAGAGTATAGGTAGTAGTAGTCGTCGTCGTCGTCGTAGTAGGAGTATAGCTATGCTGATTGTGTAGAATTTAAGGTTTTGCTTCGAGAGTTTGGGTTTTCTGTTTGGACTTCAAGGTTTCGTGTGAATTTGGGCTTCTGGCGTAGACCGTAAGGTTGCGTGTTGAGAACATGGGCTATGTTTCAAGTTTCGGGTGAAATTTGATAATGCAGGGTCTAAGGGTTTAGGGTATGTCAGGAGTGCTTCGAGGGGGTTAAGGCAGCCTCAACAAATAGAAGTAGTACGTACCAGTATCACGATGTATCACGCCATAGTCGTAGTACCGAGTACAAGTATAGTATCATATACGCCCGAAGCCCTATTGTAGTTGTTCAGGCCCCTATCCTTGGGCTTCCTTTCAGCGACCTGGTTAACCTTGGAGGATCATGGGACTTAGTAAGTAAGGTTATAAGTACCTTAATCAGGGTTATAAGTAGTTGTAAGTATAGTTACCCTAATTATAACCCTAGTTACTAAGTCCCATGATCCTTGAAGTAGGCCCTAAACCCTAAACCTCATAGATCCCTTTAAGGAACCCCTATAGATCCCTTTAAAGGGAGCCCTTTAAGGAAACCTAGATCCTTTAAGTATGAGGGGCTTGGTGTTCTTGCTTCCAAGGAGAAATTTAGATCAACCCGAGGAGCTCTCACTACTTGGAGGTTCACGGGTAGTTATGATTGGGGTTATATGGGTTCCTTTAAGGGATCCTTTAAGGGTTCTATAGGGTTTTGGGTTTAGGGTAGTTATAAGTGGGGTTATAAGTGAGGTAACTATTCTTATAACTCACATTAAGGGACTTAGAACCATACTTATAGGAGGTTTTCGCCACCCTTCAACCGCCTAAACCCCGAGCTCTTGCTTCCTACACCCTGATTCCCGACCTTTCCTACATCGACTCCTTACCCCATCAAACCCGCAAGTCCTGAAGTTGTGTCTCCCACTTAGTTTCCTATCTCTTGTCTGTCATGACAAGGCCGAGGAATTGCAGAACTTGCGGTCAGGTGCTGCTGGGGTGAAAGCGGAAGCGGAACAGTTTCGGGATTGTTTTGCCGCTGATGTTTGTGCCGTGTGTTCGCTTGCCAGTCATCTACGCAAGCATCGGAGCACGTGCTCAAGCACGCGCTGCGGCTGCAGCATGCCCGGCCCAAGCCGCAGCATTGCCGCTTCAACTTTACGCACTTCGTCGAGTTACCCTTTGCCGGTGAGAGAATTGGTGGCAAAAATGCGACCATATGAGCGCACCGGCAAGGAATCGACTACCGACGCGGCCTGGTGACGAGCTGCCGGTCGTGAAAGACCGAGTCGACCCCAAACCCCTTGCCTGACAAATTACGCAGATGTAGGCCCCTGAACCATCCTAACCCTATCAGGCCTGACAATGTTTCCTCGAAGCCCTTGGAAGAATTGAAAGAGCTCTGTAGAACCCTTTCAAACATTCTAAAGCCAGGTAAATGATTAAGCCTGCAATGTTGTATCATCTCAGGTTGACACCCTGTGAACCCTGGCCGAGCCTTACGAAACACACTGGAAAACATCTCGAAACTCTGTGAGCTCTCCGGTTGAACTTTCTGAATAAACCTTGAAACCCTGAACTCTTAGCCAGGAAACTCTAAAACCCCCGGAAGCCTAAACCCCGGATGAAGCCTGATCAAGCTACTACTACTTTCCTGCTGCTACTACTACTACTTCTTCTACTTCTACTGCTACTGCTACTACTACTATTACCACTACTACTACCACAACAACAACTACTACTACTACTACTACTACTACTTCTACTACCACTACCACTCCTACTCCTACAACTCAGGTTGACATGAATGCTTCAGATCTTAAGTTTCTTTTCGACATCCTCGATGAGGACGACGACGGCAGGGATGCCCAGCGGAGAGGTTTGTCGATTGGGGTGCAGGGGTTGGAGGTTTCCAGTTTAGATTCGATTTGAAAAAATCTCTGTTTACAGTAGAAGCCAAAAAGTTGGAAACGCAATAGCCTCAATCCTTAAGAGTAATGTATAGGGAATCCCAGCACTATTTGGCCTTAACCCGGTTTCCAACGTTATGCAGGGTTGTTGGGGGCTGGGGATGTCGGGCCGAGGGTTTCAGGACTTGGAATTGTCGGTTTGGGGTCTTCGAGATTTAACATGGAGTGGCGTCAGAGCAATACTTCAGAAGCTGTAACCAATTCGAAAAGTCCAGAAGGCATAGTCTCTCTTAATTTGCCCAGAACTGCATTGGACATCAACAAAACACCAAACACTGTCTGAAATCAGCCGAACTAACCATCACATCGAGATCACCTTCAGCCCTGGATTCTCACATAAGCGCCCGTAGCCACTGCCACCTCATCAATGGCTCAGTGCAGCCCCTGAACTGCCATTAACATCACTACTGGTATTATTACTTTTGTTGTTGTTGTTAGAAACTTTTCGAGAAGATGATGAACTCACAAAATCCCGAATTCGGGAAGCTACACCCTCGGCCCGTCCACCCTCAATCCTAAAGGAAAGTCCCGGCACACAAAGCGCCCTGAAGCCTGGAAGCCCTCCCCTCCGCTCCTGGGTCTTTAAGGCCACTGTGAAGTTTAGCATCATTTTAAGAACCATCAGGCCACTATTCTCCGCCCCTAGGGCTATAGGGCCACTATGAAGTTTAGCATTATAAAGAACCATGAGGCCACTATTAAAGGGTACTTGAGGGAGGTGCTCCCTGAAGCCTCCCGTTAAGGATCCAAACCCAAACCGCAAGCGACATGCTGTTGAAAGCCTCTCAGTCTCACGGCCCGTTTACCCTTTAGGGCCTTTAGGGTTTAGGGTTTTTAGGGTTTAGGGTTTAGGGTTTAGGGTGTATGTGTATTATAACTCCCCAAAGTCAACCTTTAAATCCCCCTCCAATACTGGACAAGTAGGTCTGACAGAAGTACTGAGCCGAGAGCACTTTTGAAGGTTTCGAAACTGCTCCCCAGAAAATCCTCAGCTTTGTCCTTCGCCCAAAATCCTGGAACCCTCAAGCGTAAACTCCCAGACCTCCAGAGACACCCTCAAAAAATCCTTCGCCCCAAAAAAGCCCCTGAAGCATTTGACACCAAGGTATATGTCCTACAACTCTAAAGCCCTAAACAAAACCCCAAGAGCCCTCTCCATGGGGGGGAGGGGGGCAGGGGGGGGCTATAGAATCATAGTATAATACTCTCCAAGGCCCGGTTCTACTGAACTTGAAAAGGCCCCAAAACCCGAAATCCTAAATCCCAAACTCTAAATCCCAAACCCTACGCCCTAAGCCCTAAACCCTATGAGGCACCTTGTCGGTCCGAGAGATGGTTCAGCTTGGTGCCCTCGAGGCCGAAACGCTGTGTTTTCAGCTTTCGAAGCCCGGGATTCAAAGGGTCAGGGGTTACTTGGAGGTTCATGGGCAGTTATAAGTGGCGTTAACAGGATGGTAACTATACTTATGCCTCATATTAGGGGACTTATAGCCCCACTTACAACTACCCATAAGCCTCCAAGTAATTCTAGTGTTCCTCGTTCAAGGATTCCTAAAAGGGTCCTATTAAGGGTCCCTAAAAGGCCGTGGGCCGTGAGGATTCAGGGCTAGTGCTTAGGGTTTCTGGAATCATTCCTTGAACGGTTCCTACAAGGGCTCCTAGAACAAAGGCTGAGGGGTTTAAGGGTGTGAGGTTGATGTATAGGATTCCTTGTCCGGTTTCCGATAGAGGCCACGCACTACTTGCATGCATTGAAACAATCTTGCGTTCATCCCCAAAACAGCACCACGATTGTCGGCTTTACCAACGCGTCTGGAGGGCTTCTTGGGCTAGTCGGTTTGCGAGCGTCAGGCGTGTCGAATGCCTTTTCTACATCGGGGGACTTCCCGCCAAAATAGCGACCCCCGTGTAAGAGACCCTTTGCATCAGGCTCGATCGGGGCTTTATTTCGATACTCTCGAACATGGCGTTGTTGAACCTTCTGGTTTCTGGTGTTTCTTTGCCTCAGGTATCATATTAGGGATCCTATTATACTTTGAGGTATATTCCTTAATTAAGGGATATTGGAGTCTCTGGGTTGCCTCAGGTATCGGACGCACTCCTCTTGTCTGAACACCTGGACAAGGACGACGAGGTCTGCGGGGTTTGGCCTGGGATGCCCAGTAGTGCCCTTATTCCCTTTTTTGTAGTCCTAGGTTCCTTCTAAAGTTACCCAATACCAAAAAGAGAGGCCTTTTTATTCTTAGGTTACAGGGTATCCTAGCATTGGTCTAAGTTTGAATCAAGAAGAACAGCAACAGCTATAGCAGTAGAATCCTAGTAGTAGCGTAGGCAACCTTTAACTTTTTTTGGGTAGTATAGTCCCTATAGAATCCCTACATAGCCAGAAAGGCTAGCCTTTAGTAACTTTCCCCATGATACCCGACAAGCAGGTAATGGAGCCTACATACCCTAAATGCTAAATCCTTCAGAGTGCAAGCCCCGAGCCGCCCAACATCGAGCTGCCATCCTTCTAAACTCCAACACCAGCACTCTTCATGTAGACCCCTGAAAACTCAGCCCGTTTTTTTTTGAAATTTAGGATGCGTAGTATATGTTGCTTCTCTGGTTTACTTAGGACTCCAGAGTTCATCCTTTAACCCTGGTGATTTTCTGACCTTTCTGACCTTTCACCATGTCACCCAGCAATCCTTGACATATCGTTGTTCGCGACCAGCACAAAGAACTCCGTGTTCACTGTTCGCAGCCGCCCAGGCGTATGTGGTAGCACTTGCTTGTCACATCAGCATTGTCGTCCTCATCAGCATCATCGCGAATACTTTTACGATGGTGACGGTGATGAGGAGGAGGGGGATGAAGATGATGATGATGATGAGGAGGAGGAGGAGGAGGAGCGTGATGCTGATGACGACGACGATGGCGGTGGTGGCGGCCATTGTGACAATCATGGTGGTTATGATGCTGCTGATGATGATGACGCTGGTGGCGATGATGATGGTGATGAGGAGGGGGAGGAGGAGCAGGAGGAGGAGAAGGAAGAGGAGAAGGATGCCCCGAGCAGGGCTGGTCTTGTTGGGCCCACCACACTACGGTGCGCCGCGAATAGACCCACCGATGCCAAGCTCAACACAACTGAGCCTTGGAGTCCCGAGCCACGAGAACGGATATCACCCAAAAGGCTGATCCCTAATCCATGAAGTCTAAATACATGCAGAATGCGTGAAGCACCAGAATAGGATTCTTGAGAAGGTAAAAGTACAACATGGTATAGCCATAGTAATTTTAAGTGGCGTCATATTTAGGGTTAACTATACTTCTAACTCATATTTACTAGGGGACGTATAATTATAACCATACTTGTAACTACCCATGAACCTCCAATTAGCCATAGCTAAAAGTCCTAAACCCCTGAACCCCTCAACCCTAAACCCCTAAACCCTAAACCCCTGAACGCCTCAACCCTAAACCCCTAAACCCTAAACCCATGAACCCCTCAACCCTCAACCCCTAAACCCTAAACCCCTGAACCCCTCAACCCTCAACCCCTAAACCCTAAACCCCTGAACCCCTCAACCCTAAACCCCTAAACCCTAAACCCCTCAACCCTAAACCCCTAAACCCTAAACCCCTGAACGCCTCAACCCTAAACCCCTAAACCCTAAACCCCTGAACCCCTCAACCCCTAAACCCTAAACCCCTGAACCCCTCAACCCTCAACCCCTCAACCCTAAACCCCTGAACCCCTCAACCCTAAACCCCTTTATAGAACCCTCATAGATCCCTTTTAAGGAACCCTTATAGATCCCTTTAAGGAACCCTTATAGATCCCTTTAAGGAACCCTTATAGATCCCTTTTAAGGAACCCTAAACCCACGTTTCAAAGTCACCCCTCAGGACGGCGAGATCAGCCTCGAAGAACTGATGACACTGGCTTGGGGACCCTGGACAGTCTGAGCTTCGTGCTCCTGTCGTAGCCGTTTGTGGTGGGTATATATCAGGTTATACATATCTGCACATATATATATATATATATATATACACACACCATATATGTTATATATATATATAACTACATATATATATATATACACACACATATTTTCGCATGTGCATACATGTATGTATGTGTGTACAAACAAACGCTGTTGTAGGATAGCGACGAATCCGTGTAAGGATCCACCTGCCCAAAACGCTCGTCTGACACAGCAGCTGCAGTTTATGCTGTGGTTGTGGTTTCGACTTGGAATGGGTTAACATTTCAAATGTCGGGTCTCGAAAATTGTCTTTGTGCGTGCATGGGGCGCACAATGGTTTCATCCGTTTCCTTCTGTATGCACGTTGCCTATTCCTCTGTAGCAGGCCTTAGCCTCTTTTCTTGACAAAGAGTTCATAGTTTGGTGCAACATACTGCTGATGGGCAACACCCCGTAGCCTACACTACCGGAATCAGCATACATTCCTGATTGGAGTTGCTCAATCAACTTTAGGCTACTTAGGCTATGACAGAGTGTAGTTTGCAGCCAAGGCAAGCCCTAACGTCCTCTGAACTTAGCCCGGGACCCTTTTTAGAGACCCTACAGAACTTGTACCTTCGTAGTTCCGTTCTAAAGTCCACAAGGAGCCATCGTAATACCCAGGTCACCGGCCATGTGGGTGATGAGTTCATGGACTCCCTGAGAGGCCTCTTTGCATCGAGTTCCATGAGTCCAAAGGACCTGTGGGACAAATGAACTTTGGGACTTTCGGAGAGGCTCCACGATCTCTGCTGGGCTGCTACAGGATGTAGGGTTCAGAGTTTAGGATATAGACTTTTGGTGGCAGTGTTTTATGGAATTACAGACTTTAGTGTGGTTGGTTTTCGTTTAAGAGGCTTAAGGATTGATCTCTACCGAGTGTTCCTTCAGAAGCACTTTTGGATCTTACTGGGGTATAAGCCTACAGCTACTCATGCTGTTGCTGTGAGGGCTGAACTGTTTAGTGATTTTGAGGGCTTATTATTCGGGGCGTTACAACATGTTGATTATAGGATTGCTGTGGGCTGTTATCTGCATTCTGCTACTCCAGTATTGTAGACCTTGTCAATAAAGCCCGCCCCTCTAAACGCGAATCAACACAGAATTGCAAGTAGCAAGACCCCTCTGAAATTATTTCGATTATCAGGGATCCCCATGATTGTTCTTAACACTTTAACGGTTAGGCTTGTCTTCCACCGGGTACAGATGATGTAAGAGCTTTTATGGATGTCCTCAACGACGGCTTTCTTCCCAAAGAACATATTAACCCTGGGCCCTGAGCCCTAAACCCTACACCCGGCACACTTCGAGGAGGACGTTTTCAATACTCTAAAACCGCGTATCCCAAGAGGTCACATGTGTCCCCGAATGCCCTAAGCCCGAAGCCTGAACCCCATATCCTATCCCTCACCATACAGTGCACTGGGTAAGTTCTCAATACTGTAAGCCTCCCCTCCCCATCCCTAAATCTCGACATAGGTAGTTGTCAAAATTAGGGTCCCTTTTTGGGTACCCTAAATATTAGGTGCCGTATTATAATAAGGACCCAAAAGGGGCCCTATTTTTGACAACCACCCGCATAGGATACCGAATGTCTGGTGATAGTTCTGCCCTACTATGCTCCGAAACCCGCTTCCAGTAATGAAGGTTCCCCATTATCCTAATTCCCGACACATTATCAGGGGCAATCTAAGCCCTGAAGACTATGAAACCTTAGACTATGAAACCTTAGATAGCCGTAAGTCCATAGTCAACAGATTTTGGAGTCTCCCTGTCCTCTTGCACTGATGCTTCGAAACTTCGGCTCTTTGATGCAGCTTTCTAAGGTTTAGGGTTAGGGATCAGTTGAAGGTATAAGGGCGGGTTGTACGTGGTGTCAGTGTTCGCAGGTACTTAATTAGGGTTGTGAGTGATTTGGAGTTCGTAAGTACAGTTGTCTTACTTAACTACTATTTGCTTAAGAAACCCCCAAAAAATAAAATAATAATCCCTATATTACCCCCATAAGGAATATATTTTTTATTTTTTGGGGGTTCTTAAGCAAATAGTAGTTAACACTATTCACGAAGTCCCCCGTCTGAGGACAAGGGTTCGGGATTTAGCCATTCGGGCATAGGTTTTCAAAGCGAAAACCCACACCACAGAAATTTGTTTATCGGGTTCAGGGTTGAGGGCTTTGTAGAGGCTGAAAACTGCCAATGCTATTCTGCTGTTCCTCAGGTTCGTTGCTATAGATATGCCACTAAAAATTCCCCAAGCCCTATCAAAGCACTTCTATCAAAGAACCCATATAGCCAACCCGTATAGAACCCTTCAAAAGAACCTATTCTACTTATCCCCTAAACCCTTAGACCCTACGCACACCCCGTTTTGATCGATGGGCTCACAATAAAACCCGGTGCCAAGCATCCAAAAACCACGGAGAATCCTATACTTCTATACTTCTTCAACCGAAAGGATCAGGCACCGCGGTTCAAGGGTTCTGTGCTTGTGTTTTTTTGGTGTTCAAGGATTGTTGTTGTTGGAAGGGGCATCTGGGGACCGTGCAGGGTTTCAAAACGCGGTCGATGGTTAGGATTGAGAGTGGGCATCCAGCTGGGAGTGGGCCCTTATTTTCGGAAACTCCCAGTTGCTGCCAATCCGTGTCAGTACAAACCCACAGCCATCGAGCATGACACACGCAACTAGGAATGATCTGACCATGATGTGGATGGCCAGATTCAGTAGTAGCGACGCTCCTTGGCTGTTTATGTGCTCGGCTCACCATCAGGACATCACGCAAGTGGTATCACCTTCCTGAACCAAGTCAAGACAAAATAGCAAGGCGATATAGTGTTAGCCTGGGCTCGTGTACTAACCCTGCCCCCAACCTCAGAACAGCCATGAACCCCAAGCCCTACACTAGCACACCTCAAGCCCTTAACCTAAAACCCCAAGAGCAAAAAGCTTCGAAGTAGTGCAAGGCTAGAGCCCTGAAGCCCTCCACTTGGAGGTTCATGGGTAGTAGTAAGTGGGCTTATAAGTACGGTAGCTATACTTATAACTCATACTATTAGGGGACTTATAACCCTGCTTATAACTATCCATCAACCTCCAAGCAACTTGAAAACTTTGAAGCCCAAAAAGCCTAAACCCCTTACCCGGTACGCCCCTATATAGCCCTGCAAAGAGTTGACAAAACCACAACCCTGGTAAAACAAACCATTGAAACTCTGCAAGAAAGTGAACAACCTTACAAACTATACCCTAAACCCTAAAGGGCCGTAAAGACCCCAAAGTTGCCCCAGAACCCTAAACCCTTAACCCAACCCCTAAACCTCAAGCCCTTAAACCCCCAAACCCTAAACCCTAAACCCCTGAACCCTAAACCCCTAAACCCCTAAACCCTAAACCCCTAAATCCTAAACCCCCAAGCCCCTAAACCCCTAAACCCCTAAACCCTAAACCCCTAAACCCCTCTGCCCCTTTTTTTCTGGACAACGCTTTCAGCTTCGCGGGGAGAGCGGCTGCCATGGACACGAAGCCCCGTCTGGAGGATGTTCACATGCCGCTGCGGCGAATTAATACTTGCATAGTGAACGGGGAAACTTTAAACTTTCTGGCCTTATATATTAGCTCTATCTTTCAAAGTTTGTACTTTTTGGGGCACGGTTGTTGTAGAAGAGAGAATATAGGGGCATATAGGGTAGGGTTTAGGCGTTCGGGGATTAGGGTTTAGGGGACGTTCACATGCTGCTTGGCGAAATAGAACCGGGTTCTTGAGGGGGCCGTTCGAAGGGTTCTATAAGGCTGATAGAAGGCTTTTATTTGGGCTCTGTAGTTCTATCAGGGTCATGGTTGCTATAAGGATGCTATAGGGTCCCGATGAGGTCTCTGCAGGGATGTTCGGGCTGCTTACCAGCTGGTGCGTGGGACTTTAACTGCGCGGGTGTCTCTATTGTTTGTACCATGAAGCTGAAAGTCCAACTTAGGGGTTCCGAGGCCAGCCAAGGGGCTTGAACAGTCAGACTATGGTCGGCTTCTATGTTCGACCGGCTTACCTGGTGCTGTTTTGGGGTTCAGGCTGTAGGCTTGAGCACTGCCTGGATATGCAGACCCCGCACATGATGTCAACTTTGTAGATCGTTGCAGGTACGGGGGCTCCACGCAAATCGGTTCTATGCTTCCGGGTTGGGCTCCGCGTCGAGTTGTAGAGGGATCAACGTTCTTCGAGTTGACGCCTCACTGCTAATGTAGGGGCCTTAATAATTAGAATAGGGTTTGGGGTATATCATACTACAAGGCCCCCAGCAGTTCTGGCTGGAAGTGGTTTTTCGAGATCTGATTCTTGAAGTCAGGGCTGTTACCCTAAACTGCAACAACTAACCAGTGATACTGGAGGAGCTAAGGAGCCAAGGATGATGATAATCCCCATTAAATAAGGAGCTAAAGAGCCAAGGGAACCCCAAAACCACTGGTTAGACAAATCCCCGTGCCCTCCTTTCCACAGCGAGGAGGCTTTTCTAATCCACTGCAGCCAAAAGACCTTCCTAAGCCCGCACACCTTTAAACCCCAAAAGCATACATCCCTGAAAGCCCTGCACCCCTTAACTCCTGCAACCCTAAACCCTTCAACCTTTAAAGCCTCAAAACCCTAAACCCCAACAATCCCGTAAGTCTTGTCAAGCCCCTGAACCTTTAACACCTTGAAACCTTACACACCTTAAACCCCTTAGAACCAGACCCGCAAACTTTCAATTCCCTCGAAACCCTGAAACCCCCTAAAGCCTTAAAATCTTCAGCCACTTCACACCCTACAATTTCCTAAATCCAAAAACGCCTTAAAGCCTTCCCGTTAAGCTCCGTAAAGCCCTAACACTCCCCCAAAATCCTTAAAGCCTTAAGAGCCCTAATATAGATGTTATCCTGCCGGGCTCCTTACTCTATTTATACTAACCTGCACTCAACCCCAAAACCCTTTAGTTATTCAGGCCCTTATACTCTGGAAACCTCATACTAGCTTTGAGAGAACCCTCCTTTCAAGAACCCCCCCCCAAAAAAAAAAAGAAAAAATCAATTCTAAGTAATACGGCCCCTACATTGAACCCATATAACCACATAGCAACCCTTCAAAACGGAGCCCATAGAGTAATAGAGAACCCTTTTAAAGGAGCCCTTTAAAGGCGCCCTATTCCAACTATGAAGGCCCCCCTACTTAAAGGATCATGGGACTTAGTAAGGTTTAGGGTTCCTTTTAATAAGGGTACTATAGGGTTCTATAATAGGGTTCCTTAAAGGGTTCTATAGGGGTTCTATAATGGGGATCATGGGACTTAGTAAGTAAGGTTACAAGTGCCTTAATTGGGGTTATAAGTAGTTATAAGTATAGCTAGGGTTATTATAACCCTAGTTACTAAGTCCCATGACCCTTCAAGTAGACCCTAAACCCTAAACCCTCTAGATCCCTTTAAGGAACCCCTATAGATCCCTTTAAAGGTATCCCTAAAAGGAACCCTAAGATCCTCCAAGTACAGCCCTAAAGCTGACGAGGTCGGTGCGGAAGATGAAGGAGCTCCGATCCTGCAGCGTCCATGCACCGGCAATACCTGGAAGTTCATGGGTAGCTATAAGGGTTCCTTGAAGGGTCCCTTTAAAGGGATCTATACGGATTCTAGAAGGGTGTAGGGTTTAGGACTTACTTGGAAGTTCATGGGTAGTTATAAGTGGGGATATAAGTA